GGTTATACCGATTGATAATTTGTTTGCTAAAATTGTTCAATAAAAATATCTATTAAAAGAAAAAGAAAAAGTCGCATGGATTACCACATGACATCTACCTCTGAGCTTTCTTTGAAGCATGGAAAACCAAGGAGGTCGGTTGGCTACAGAGCGCATGATATCAGTGTGACCACAAATTTTATTTTATGGAAGTTATTCTTATCTTTTTGATCGCAAATCTTATTTTTAAGGAAGTTGTTCCTCTTATTATTATTATTTTTTAAAATAATCCTCACTGATTTCTTTGAAAGTAAAAAGACTTCATAAAAGTTGACAAAGAACAGTGGCCAAACAAAGAACAGGTAGCCCCCATACATTCCCAAGCTTACAGGAAAGACCAGTTAAGCATATCAGAGTTTTTTCTGGAAATGTGAGCACTCAAGGATATTGCAAAGTGCAGACTACTGGAGAGATCATTTGTAGAATGAGACTAAGGGCATTCACAAAATGCTCCTTAGCTACAGTACCTTGAAAGTAAAATAAGCACAACAAAATCCTTTCACCTACCCATGAGAATTTCGCTAAACGTCTCCTTTTCAGCATTTTTGAATGCAATATCTTTTCCCATAAATTGATGGGAAATGGTTGTGCAGGGGTAAATGCTGGAATCTTTTTTCAGCCGATCACTAGCTTAAAGAGAGGACTTGGAATTTAATTTGGCTTAGTTGCATTGAAGTCAACTAAATCAGGACTAATTCAAGCATTCTCTCATAACTGATGCATGGATTGCACTTGATAGCGATCATAATGAGTTGGTAAATTTTAAAATGTATTTGTATATAAAACCACGAATGAACGGACATTGACGAATACTTTGAACTTTTATTTTATCCAAATAAATAACATGAGCCTCTGCACTCATTCATTATTCATGATCATATTTAATTCATTGCAGTGCATTTATAAAACATTCAAATGACTTACTACAGATGTTTCTGTTTGCTGGAGCAGAATGTCTCAGAATTTAGAAATTTGCTTAGGAATTTAGATCTGGGAAGCTCTGGAACCTCTAGGTACACCTCTGTCATTCATGTGACAAATCTGCATAAGTTGCTTTGTTTGGTGAAATACATGGAGAATTACATAATCCAGCTTCAAATATTCTTTACAGCAAGGATGGCTAACCTGTGGCTCCCATCTGCCCCTACTCCCATCTGCCCCATCCAACATGGCCAATGGTCAGGGGTAGTGGAAGTTGCAGTTCAACATTTGAAGGGCTATCCCTGCCTCACAGGATGCATTCAGTTTTGGAAAATGCACAACTTATGCAAGCCAAAGCATGAATGACAGAGCTAAAGAATGTGGGCTATTATCTTAATATAACACATAGGCAGTGATGCTTTTGTTCTTTGCATTTCCTTAGATCTGCCTTGTTAAACACACATTTGCATCTAAAAGCAAACAAAGATCATGTCACTCTAGCCTTACAAGGAAGAAATTGTTGCTGAAGGATTCCTACGTGCCTTCTCAGTTTTCTAGTTGATACTGAAAGCACACTTCCTGAACGTCACGTTTCAATCAAACTGAATAATCTCAGGCTTTCCGGGAAAGTGAGTGGTTCAGAGTTTCTGGTGGGTTTTATCTAAATTATTTAATTCTTTGGCAGTTTACAGGAATTAATAAAAGCAACATAAACACTTGTTAGGCAGTGTCATCAGTGTACATGGTATTTATTAAGGTGTTCATTGGCTCTATGTGAGGCCTGAATTATGCAATGAATCAGGGTGATTCAGGGAAGATTTGTATGCTTCTGAGTTGAATGGAACCATGAATAAATAAGTCAGCTGAAGTCGGACAGGGACTTCCTATGTTTCCAGATTGCTTTATGACACTGATTGTCCTAAAACATGCAGAATGATTTTTGCTTTACGGTGGTACCTTAGTTTACAAACTTAATCTGTTCTGGAAGTCCATTCTTAAACCAAAGCGTTCTTAAACTAAGGCGTGCTTTCCCATAGCAGCGGGAGACTCAGTTTACAAATGGAACGCAATCAACAGAAACGGAACATGTTCTGCTTCCAAGGCAAAGTTCACAAACCAAAACACCTACTTCTAGGTTTGCAGCGTTCTTAATCCAAGTTGTTCATAAACTAAACTGTTCTTAAACCAAGGACCGCTGTATTCTCTGATTTCAAATGGTCTACTCTGAGCATGACTTTCATGAATATAACCCATGTTTTCTCAGATCACTTTTAAGTGAGAATGTGTATATATCTGATAAATTTTGAGGCAGAAGTGTCAGGCTTCAAGGGACCTCATTACAGTGCCATTTATGCTCTGCCCCTTGTACAGCTGCCTATGCTCCATCCCTCTTGGCTACACCAACACCCCACCCTATCCCCACAACAAGATAACGTCCATGGGCTGCTGCTCACCACTCTCTCTCTCAGGCATTTCAGCAGTGGGTGGGAGGCACTGCCACTTTTAAATGGAAACCAAGCTCAGATCTCATCTATGGTGGTTGTCTAATGTGTTTAATTACCAAAAATGTACTAACCTGCCTCACAGACCTAGGTAGATAGCTAGATAAGAAGGAAAGAACAGATAGCTGTCAAACTGCTGACCCCCCCCATCTCCAAGCCTCCATATTATAACTATGGCAGAAGTAAAATATCTCTCAGAAGGGAAGAAGCTCCAAATTTCCTGTGGAGTCCCAGATTAGCCAGCTCTCTCCTAATGTAAAGGATCTTGCAGAAACTCAAAGTCTAGCTTGGCAACAGCCCTTTCAGATTTTACCGTCCTACTTTTCTTGCAAAGTATCTTCATGGTTGTTGTTTTTTAAAGGAAACTAGACTACAGTACTGTATAAACCTCTTATAAAAATTTGCTCACTCTGCACTAATTTTTTTAATTGATAAGAAATACACTTGATTATAAGACAGAAATAACTACTTTATAAATATGATCGTGCGACATGCAGAAAGTATAAAACAATGTAGCTACATAAGAACATGAATCATTCCAAAAATATATAAATGAGTCTTCTAAATCACAGCTAGGATTGTCCTCAATATCACTTGATGCTCTTGCTCTTATTTTGAAAAAAATAAATCTATATTTTTTTATACATACTATGCTATTCTACACTGAAATGTTTAAATGTTTTTTTGATTGTCCTTGAATCTTCCCAACATACTTGCCATTCTCTGCTGCCACACCCTTTGAGAACCACTGCAAGGCTTACCCAGGAATATGTCTTATTCAACTTTATGGGACTTACTTCAAAGTATGCATAGCACTGCACTGCTTTCCAGTCTTTGAAGACTGTTACTGGCATCTTAGTATTGTCCAGCTTGTTGGTATATAGGCTCTAGTCCCATATCACTGTAATCTGAGATTCCACTCCTTTTTTCATCCAACTTTATCATTGTATAAGAATTTGAATATGTTCCATCTCATGGGGAACCTCCCTTGTATAATTACTAAATACAGCATTGGAAGGAACATGACTGAACAGTTCAGAATCTGACACATGAAGGACATAGCAGAACTAACTATTTAATTAAAGCCAAACTTGTGAGACTTTTTGGGCCCATAGACACATAGAAACAAGCACACCCTGCAACCTATTCTGTTGGCTACAATGGCCTGCTTGTTTTAAGGCCAATTTCAGTGGGAGGTGGTGAGGGGACCCCATAAACATCAGGGGTGACCTCTCTCGACATATGCACACCTGCAGGCTCTTTGCTCATGACCCCTGCATAATGGAGTTGATAGGCAATGTTACGACACCTCACAGGACCAACCAATAGTTTGTGCTTTTGTCCCACAGTTCTGCAGTTTTATATCATGCCAATGTGAACTAAGCCTGTGTTACCAGACACCCAGAGGGATCTGTTGAAGCCAACTGGACTTATTTGCCAAGTATATTCTGAACTGGAATGCCAGGCTGCTTTCAGATCCAGGTTTAATCCAAGCGTTTCAATTTTATCTCAAGCTTTTCACGAATGTATATGAAGGCATTGTGGAAGGAAAGAAAGCACCTTCTCCTTTCATGCTGCTGCTAAGATTGTGCAGATTCTCCAGGGACTCATATTCTAAATAAAGTATAGTAGCTGCTCCCAGAATGATGTGTTTAGCTGAACCCTGTGTTAGCAGAGTCCAGGGCTTGTGGAGACAGATTCAGCGATTGCATGTTTAAATGCTTCAATCTTGGGTATCTGTGGTTTTTTTGGGTTTGGGTTTTTTTTAAAGCAAACCGAAGTCAATGAGTGTTAGAGTGTTATACAGCATGAGGCTGTGTAGTGTGAATTGTGCAGCTATGCCACCTACAGCCGCAGACAAGCATTTGTATCAGGAAAAGCAATTTTTTCCTGTCATGAAAAGCAATAACAAAGAGAAAGGCAGCCCAAAATGTGATATGTCTTTCCAGATGAGAGCTTCCCTTATTTCACTTGCAGATTTATTGCACTGAGAGATGGTATGGCTGATAGCTTTCCCCACAGCAAATGAATTGATATGTATAGTGAGATTTCCAAATACAAAGAGGCTGGAGACAGTTGTGTACAGTATTGAAAGGATGCACATCCCATTTTCATGCGGCTATTTAAATAGGCTTTGGCTATCAGTATTTCCAAAATACAAAGCCTAAAGGAAATGAAAGGAGTTTATTATTATTATTTATTTTATGAACTAACATATGCATGTCTAATTATTTTTAGACATATTTTGAAGCACCCAGCATAGCACTGCTACCTAAACACTATTGTACTACATGATTGTGTCTTGAATGTCATTTTATGCTTTGCCTTCATTTTCCTTATTGATGACTGTAACACTAAGGGCCCGATTCCTTTGGGCCTTAGCCCCATGCAGACTCAGTTTATTTATGTACCTAAGAATTCACACCCCACATTTAGGCCAAAATTAGGCTCCAAGAGAGGTAGCAGGCATTACATTGATATAACATTAAAAATATCCTATCAAAACACCACAACATAAAAATGAAAAGCTACAGGGAAGGACCATAGCTCAGTGGAGGAGCATCTGCTTTGCATGTAGAAGGTTTTGGGTTCAACCCCTGGCATCTCCAGGTAGTGTGGCAAAAGAAATCATTGCCTGAAATCTCAGAGCGCTGCTCCCAGTGAGGGTAGACAGTCCTGAGCTAGATGGACCAATGATCTGGCCCAGTATAAAGCATCCTCTTATACAGTCGTACCTTGGATCTCAAACACCTTGGCTCCCAAACAAATCGGCTCCCGAATGATTGAAACCCAGAAGTGAGTGTTCCGGTTTTCAAACTATTTTCGGAAGCTGAATGTCCAGCATGGCTTCCGTGACTTCCAATTGGCTGCAGGACACTCCTGCAGCCAATCAGAAGCCGCGCCTTGGTTTTTTAACAGTTCCGGGAGTCGAACGGGCTCCCAGAATGCATTCTGTTCGAGAACCAAGGTACGCCTTTATTTATTATATTTATATTTATATTCAACCTTCAAATATTTATAGTATTTATAAACTATAAATATAATTTATTTATATTATTCGCAATATGATATATAACAGAGATGGGAGCCTGGAGGTGGGGGAGATAAAACTTAGCTTAGCCTAAAGCCATTGTGAAATCAAAATGTCACAGAAGGAGCCAATTAGTTCTCTTCTTGAAGGAGGACCATGGACAGGAAAATGGGGTCAGCAGCACTTGCATAGGAGTGGAGGATCCAGAAGGCATCTGAACAGTGTCCTCCTTGTATCTTGTCAATTATTTACCACAGATAGCAGTTTTTGTAGCTAGCGACATCATCTCATGTTTTATTCTTCAAACATACTGAGCCAGAAAGAAATAAGTTTCTGAATTTTAACTAAAATAACTGTTCCTTTGTAATCCAGAGATGGGTCAAGGTATACCTAGCAACAAATGGGGTTCCTTCAAAACTAGCGTTACTACCTGTTGTGATTCCAATAAGGCACTATGAGTTTTCAAAGCAGGGATGCTGAAAAATACATTGCTTTTTCTCCCTTAAAAAGAGAGCATGATGGGGTGGGGAATGTTTAAATATTGCAAATGCCAGAATTTCCAAAAAGGCTTAGTTCTTGATGTAGCCCTATCAGTTGGTAGGTGGCTGGAGGTGAGAGAGATCGGATTCTTTTTTGATGAATTTCCAAGATAGCTCATTCCTTCTAAGGCCGCAGTTTAGCTGGTAGCTCCACTTGATCAATTGGTGAGACAGAGAGTTAAAAGAACACATTTATTTAAGGGTACCTTGTCTTTAATTGGTAAAACAGATGGATGGTTTAAAATAAAGATTTTTTTTTCCCTGCTGCTGCTGAAAGGATAAAGCCTTTACCTGTGGATGCTGCTGCAAGAGACTTTTGAAGAGGCTGCTAGCCCTGACGGCTATACTCTGCCCCATAAATGGAGGCAGTAATGTTTCTGAATACCAGTTGCTGGAAACTGCAGGAGGGAAACATGAAAGGTCCTGCTTGTTTCACAGGCATCTGGTTGGCCGCTATGAGAACTGGGTGCTGGACTAGATGGCTCATTGTTCTGATCCAGCAGACTCTTATGTTCTTATGACTTAATTCAGACATCATGCAGATAGATGGTTTGGTGCAATGTCTCCTTGATGCAGCCAGAAGAAGTGCTGGGCAGACTGAACACAAGGGTACTAGTAGCTCTAAATCATGGTTTGGCCATCACAAGTCATGACACATGTGATATTTGAATTGATAAACAAAACTGAACCAACAATAATGTTCATTTATTAAATAATGCCATCTCACATTTAATTAAATTTCTCCAAAGAAAAAGCACCCATATAAGTATATCTTTAAATGATTTAATCATTTAATCATCTTTAAATGATTAAGGGTGCAGTCCTACATTAAATTAAGGTGGCTGAAAGGCATTGGCAGTGCAAGAGCTGCTCTGCCAATGAAAATCAACATATGCTGGCAGAACAATGCTTATGTCATCATAAGACCCTCAGTATGTGAACAGGAAGTTTTGCCTATGTAGCTGCTCCGATGGTTGCTGCTGCGATCTATTTATTTATCTATCTAACTATCTATCTATCTATCTATCTATCTATCTATCTATCTATCTATCTATCTATCATATATCTATATCTATCTATCTATCTATATCTATCTATCATCTATCTATTTATCTTCTATCTACTATCTATCTATTTAAAATGCTACTTACACCCATAGGTACCCAACTATGGTACTGTAATGCCCCAAAAGCTTTCTTTGTGTAAAGCCTCTCAAAGGCATAAGTTTTTTAAAATAAAAACTGGGTCCTCTGGTGTGATGTTTTACACTTTGCTTGCTTGCTTGCTTGCTTGCTTGTTAAACAAAATTATACCCTGCTTTTTATCACATCTGGGTCCCAAACTGACTTTAGCATTTCAGCCATAGCCATTTTGAAATGTGGCCCCTGGACAGTTGAATTTGAGTTAATGTAGCCTTCAGACTGAAAAGGGCCAGCCACCCCAATTTTTGACATCTAAGTCATAACACTGCATTCTCTCTTAGTCCTTCGCCTTGTAATTTGCATGGATGATATTCATATTTACTCCTTGCCTTCTATGCATTGTCCACAAATGCCAGAGGTAAACACTGTGTGTGTGTGTTTGTTTGTTTATATTTGCAGAGGATGGGAGAGTTTTGGGCTTTCCTCTTTGCTGCTAGGTAGTCGTACTGCATGGCATGAAGAATAATAGAAAATACTTCTTTCTTTCAATAAAGTCTACACAGCTAGAATTGGGTAGGGAAATTCTCATTTCTTTCATCAAAAAAGAAAAGAAAAGCTTTAGGGAGTAACAGCACATCACTTATATATTTACTGATGTGGAGAATGTTAGAGCCAGGTCTAAGGGAACAGACCCTAGACTGGATACAACATGTCCAGTAAAATGCTGGAAGGCATAGCTCTAACTTGGAGATGTAGCCAGACAGGTGTCAAATGTCAGAACAGACTGAACTTTGCCGGAGAAAAAGCATCCCTTCATTTCTGTAATTTTGCTTTAGGCTTTTTGTGCTGGATATTTAGAGATTTCGAGGCATCAGACTGGTACCATTCCTAAAAAACAAACAAAAGAAGTACCGTAATTAAAACATTTAGCTACTTATGTAATAAGTGTATTCTTATATTATTTGGGAATAAATACTATGCTTTACCTGACACAAATGCTAGACTTTCCCAGCATAGGTTTGAGCTCATCTAGGGACCTCCATAAATTAAAGTGCCTTTGTTATCATTCACTCCAGCCACTGCTCCCCCCTTCCAACCTCTCTCATAGGTCTGAAGGGTTATTTTTATGCACTTGTAGAGAATGATGCCACATCAACTCAGGTGAAACATGCCAGGAGGGCCCTGCTGGGAAACATAATAAATTGAGAAAGTGGTGGGAAAGTCACATTGGACACAAATCACAGTAGCTGTCTTGAGGAAAGAGATCTGTGGGAAACTTAGTGTGCCTTAGCAAGTGAAGTCCATAATTCTAGACAGCCGAATTATGGAGCTCTGAGCCAAATGCTGAGGTAGCAGATTTGTTTCTATGTCCAGCCTCCAATACCTATACAAGAAAACAGGATGGAGAAAATGGGTTGCCTGCCTGACTAAAGATATATTCTTCACCATCAAATTGTTGTCCTATATCCTCCTATGCATAACTTAGTGTGGTCCACTGGGTTGGATGGTTTGAGTTTTAGAAGCTGACTTGGACCATCATTTGAAGTGCAAAGCCTCTTGCAATTAATGACAAAACCAATCAAAATAATTTACTCCAGAGGTTTGACTTTCTATTAGCTTTGCATGCCACTGAGACTAATCGGGTGATGTTGTCTTTTCAAAATCATCCTAACAGCCTCCTGCCTATTGTTTTAGCTTTGCCAGCAAATCTTTTGAATGATGATGATAAGGGCACAATTGCATGTGACATGGGAGATTAGTAATTGAATTGCCCAATGTCTTTAGCCCTCTTGTGTTGATTGCAGAAAGGGAACTCTCCATGAATTGGCACAGATGTCCACAGGAATGGAACTTGCATGCAAGCAACTTCTCACATGCATAGATCAATATGTAAAAACCCAAACACAGGGGCAATGATATGAAACTTCTCCCCAGTCTTTGGACTGAGCCCCTTTCATGTAATTAATGTGTAGAGGAGGATGATTTATTTTGCAGATGTCATCCAGTGAGTCATTATAATTTGGATTGAAATTTTGACGGTAAAGGAGAGAGCTTTAGCTCTTTTCCCGAGCTGATTTCCTGATATAATTTACCTCACTATTAACCACAGAGGCAAAAATATGTAAGTCCGGGTACTGTGTCTATATTTTCCACTCACAGCTAGGGATGAGCAAATTTGTCAGTTCTGGTTTCTCTCTGTTTTCCTCTCCACCTCCAATCCACGTTTCCTCATCAGTGCCACTATGCTGACCACAACTGCTTCTTGCCCATCTCCAGTCACATGTGTTAACCCCTGACTGAGCATGGGCGGGGTGGGGTGGAGAGAAGGAGATGCCTGCAGTCGCCTTTCCCCACTGACCATATGCTCAATTAGGTTTTTAACTCCTAATTAAACTGTGTACCCCTAATTGATTTCAGAGCCCAGATCCAGGTCAGGTCAGCCCTGGATTATCTCTAGTGGGACTGGGGCCCAAATTGAATGAAGGAGTTAGTGCACCAGGGGTGGACTTTGGTATTTCCAATTTTAGCAATGCCTGCGTGAGCCCAAAATTTGGCACCCCACCACTTGCCTTCTATTTTGTACATGCACTACTTCATAGTTGTGACTTTTCTGCAGTGTCCCCCTTGGCTCAGGGCACAGTGTGAGGGAATCGGTCATGCTGCCCTAAATCTACCTCTGCAAGCACAGCCCTAAACCACTGACGTTTGTAATTTCTAGGCTTTGCTTTGTACAGTAGAACCTCGGGTTGCAGACGTAATCCATGACAGAGGTAAGTCCACAACCTGCAGCATTTGTAACCTGCAGTGCCATGTCTGTTGCGATTTGGCGCTTCTGCGCATGCGCGAGCGGCGAAACCCAGAAGTAACCCTTTCCGGTACTTCCAGGTTTCCCGCAGTCCACAACCTGAAAACACGTAACCCAAAGCATTTGTAACCCGAGGTACCACTGTATTGCTCAGCTTCAGGATGAGGATGTTATATTGATTTGTGAAGACTGAGAAAGTAAAACAAAGCTTGATAAACTAGGAGTCTCCAGTTAAATGCAGACAAATCCTTTTTATTTAAGTATAAAGGTAAAGGGACCCCTGACCATTAGGTCCAGTCATGACCGACTCTGGGGTTGTGGCGCTCATCTCACTTTATTGGCCGAGGGAGCTGGTGTACAGTTTCTGGGTCATGTGGCCAGCATGACTAAGCCGCTTCTGGCGAACCAGAGCAGCACATGGAAACACCGTTTATCTTCCCGCCAGAGTGGTACCTATTTATCTACTTGCACTTTGATGTGCTTTCAAACTGCTAGGTTGGCAGGAGCAGGGACCAAGCAACGGGAGCTCACCCCGTCGCGGGGATTGAAACCGCCGACCTTCTGATCGGCAAGTCCTAGGCTCTGTGGTTTAACCCACAGCGCCACCCATGTCCCTCTTTATTTAAGTATATATTAACATTAAAGGGACCTTATGTTGAAACCTCCACTACATATCAGGTCTCTATCCTGCCCCCTTCTTCTCTCTTAAGCCCTCCTAATGGCTTGTCATTTTTTTGCACGCTGAAGCCTCTCTTCTACTGTTCATGGCCCCTTGTTCTGGGCCTAGTCCTTCATTTATGTCTCTTCTTTTGACCATACAGTTTTGCTTCCCCATTAATATGTGCTGTGCCACCTCCACCCTAGTCTGATGCTTCCTTTCCATGTGGCAGCTCATTTGCAGTTACTGTATACTTTGTCCAGTGATGATGGATGGCTATAGCCAACTGGTAAGTGATTTAGTAGAGGAGACAAGAATATGGTCCAGTTCTTCTCCAGCTCAGGGAACATTCCAAGTCCTACCTAGAAATGCCAGAGATTCAATCTTCTGTGGGCAACACAGATGTTCTGCTGCTGACCAATGGCCCTTCCCCATATTAAGGATATGTGGCCCAGCTCACCTGCATTCAAATACACTGTTGCCTGTGTTTCTGAAAAATAATTAAGCATAATGATCAAGAAGTGGCCCATGTAAGCAAGGCAGTGTCAGGCTATTCTGATGATGGGGAAATTAAATCCATTTACCTTTGCAGAGGGAAAATGGTTATGAGAGATATTTAAGGTGGCTTAAATCATTCAGCTTTTTTCAGTAGCTGTCAACAACAAAGTCATTAAGACTTCATTTGCAAGCTTTATCTTTAATGTAAAATGGCAGCAATTGACATTTAAGAATTGTCTGGTAGAATGCCTTGCATTATACAGGCAAAATCCAGGAAGTGCTAATGCTGAATGAATAGTCGACATCTTTCATCTGTCACCACCCAACAATTAGTTCTTGTTTACAAAATAGATGGCCCACCTGATCTTACCTTCTAGAGGGTAGTTGCAGACCCTCCAACTGTCCCTATTCTCCAGGGACTGTCCCAGATTTACAGACGCTGTCCCAGTTTCTGATTTGATCTTGGAATGTCCCACTTTTTCTTAGGACATCCCTATTTTTTTCTGAGAAATATTGGAGGGTATGGAGTTTTCCGACCCCTGAACTGTCTGAAGGCAGCCCCGTATAAGGGTTTTTTTAAATAAAAAAATAAAAGTTTATTGGCATAAATGTATAATGTTTTATTTTATTTTTAAATTTGTTGGGAGCAACCCAGTCAGGTGGGCAGGGTATAAATAGTAAAATTATTATAGTTGTTGTTGTTATGGAATAGGACATCCCTAAATTCATCAGGGGAAGTGGGTGGCGCTGTGGTCTAAACTACTTAGCCCTAGGGCTTGCCGATCGGAAGGTCGGCAGTTCAAATCTCCGCAACGGGGTGAGCTCCCATTGTTTGGTCCCAGCTCCTGCCAACCTAGCAGTTAGAAAGCACGTCAAAATGCAAGTAGATAAATAGGTACCGCTCCAGCGGGAAGGTAAATGGAGTTTCCGTGCGCTGCTCTGGTTTCACCAGAAGCGGCTTAGTCATGCTGGCCAGAAAAACTGTCTGCAGACAAACATCGGCTCCCTCGGCCAGTAAAGCGAGATGAGCGCCGAAACCCCAGAGCCGTTCACAACTGGACTTAATTGTTAAGGATCCTTTGCCTTTTTACCTAAATTCATCGGAGAAATGTTAGAGGATATTTAGGTGTTGGGGTAAGTGTTGGGAGCAGTGTACACTAGTGTACACTTGTGGTGCAGTTTTTTTCTGTAAAAAGTCACATTTTTGTACATTAAGGTCATGACAGCAAGAACAAGTGAAGGACAGGTTATTGTTTAAATTGTGGGGAAATGTTATAAAATGAAGGAAATGGTAAATGGGTGAGTTGCAAAAGGCCCTTCTTATGGACGCGCCCCCCCCTTCCAAGTATGCCTTGTGTGTAAGATGTGTTCGTTATTCATATGAAAACTAACTGCAGCTGCTCACAGAGGACACTCTGCTGCATCAATTAATGTGCCATGATAAATATGAAATTTACATCCTTCACACCAATTTAGTTACAAAATAATTAATTTGATTCCAATGTTAAATTAAGTATGGCAAGGAGGTTTTAGATTAAAGTAAAGACAGGAGGCGAGGGGCGCGGGGGGGGGAGAGAGACACACACAGACTGCAGCTTTGGAAAGCCTGGAGCGTATTTTGCACTGTACCTTGGAACAAACAGCTTCAACTAAAGAGTTAGTTAGCCTCTCTCTTTGATGGCTGAATTACCAAGTCAGAGTCTTCGGGGCCTCGTGAGGCTCAATGACAGAGAATATTGTAGTAGCTAGATGTAGGACACATAGAATTCAGACTTTTTGATCAAGTTGTAATAAACAGCTTTAATTAACTGGGCTTCCCAAGGGGATTAAAGAGAAAGGAGGAACTCGGTTTTTAAGAGTTGAACCTCTTGTCTCTGTTACGTGCATTCAGCCACGGTTTACAAACAGGATCCTCTGAGGGCTTGCTTCGGTGGAAGCTGAGCGGACAGTACAATTGATATATACTCTTGTTTGGATTCATATAGAAAGCTTCAGGCACCATCTGTGTTTGAGAGCAGTAATTAAACAGAAGACTTCCTTCTCCTGTTCCCTCCTTGCCTCCAGAGTACATCTGTTGAATTGCAATGGAAAGACAAGAGATGGTTGAAAACGACAGTCTCCAATATCCATACGCATTCCTTCCTTTCTTTTTATATATATAAAAAAGCTATATTGGTACTCTGTTAAGAAACTGTAAATTAGTCTGAAGTATTTTTAGTAAGTTGGGTGGGGAGAAAAATGTTTACATTTCCCATACTGTTTCAGCAGGAATAGAAGCAAAGTCATATGAGATTGCTCAGTCAGTACAGCATGAGACTCTTATCTGTGGGTCCTGAGTTTGAGCCCCACATTGGGCAAAAGACTCCTGTCTTGCAAGGAGTTGGAGAGATGGTCCTTATGGTCCTTTCCAACGCTACAATTCTATGATTCTATCAAAGACATCTCTTCCTTAGAAACAGAATCAAACTTTAGGCTCTTAACTGCAGAGGTATGTAAAAACCTTGATTCCATAAGCCCCCAAATTATTCTGTTTAGGAGAATAATTTTTGCCCTGCCAGCCCCTATACCCCAAAGCACCTCACTCTGGTGCATGAGAAGAAGAGAGGTGGAGAGTTTAGCATTTTCTTTCCATCTTGTGTATGCCCAGTTTAGCAAACTCTGATATATTCACGTTTTAAGGTACAAAGATTGGAAGCAAATGGTTTATTTCAAAGCCAAAATTTTATATAAATCTTGGACCTTATATAAGCTTTCAGTTGCTACTCCTACATGAAAATATGCAAGATTTAAAGCAAACCCCTGCATCATATTTCAAGCTTTCTACTACATTTTGTTCATGCTACAATTCCAATCGATTGGTTCAAAAAGCATTAGTAATATAGAAATCAAATCATTCTGTTTGACTTTTTTTCATTCAGGCATCACAGACAAATGTTTAATTTGCCTTTCAGCTGTACCTCTGAAAAGAAATATTTATAAAACCTATCAGTCGCCCTCAGCTTATCCCAAGCTTGAAAAGATGTTAGAGTAAAAGGTCCCATATTAACTGAATTGAATTGGGTAAACTAATCTCCAATATCTTAAATCTTCACATGGCTTTTACAGAGCCTCTTTTCTCCATGGGTATTAATGCTGCTTCACAACTTCACAGAGGAAACAAAAACTTTAAATTTCATGAAAGATTTTCTGTATTGATTTCTTGAAAGTATCAAGTCTTTCATATCATGCCAAAGATTTGGGTTACCTATTTATTCATTTTGTAAAAGTTGCATTGCTATTTAAAAATATTAATAATATATTATATTCAGGAACATTATACAGTGGTACCTCGGGTTACGTTACCTTTGGGTAACATAATTTCGGGTTGCAAACATGGCAAACCCAGAAGTAATGGAAAATCTGTGTGTTTTTAATTATTTTTATTTTGTATTTTTGTTATTTTTTCATTTTTATTGTAATACTTTAAAAAAGCTTAATAAATATCTTATTAAAAAAAACCAGAAGTATATACTTCTGGGTTTCGCCGCGTGCGTGCACAGAAGCGGCACCTCTGGATATGGACTTTTTGGGGTAAGTACAGACCCCCAGGACAATTTAAGTTCGTATCTGGAGGGTCCATTGTACAGCATTTCTGCATAAGTACTGGAACTATTTCATAACCTGGAAGATATGATGATGATAATGCTGATGCTGATGTCTGGGGGTTGTCTATATAATCTTTGGCAATCACTCATAGCCAAGTAAGTTGTCTTCCATGATTTTTTGGATATTGAGCGATAAGCCAAGCTTTCTGTAAGCTTCTGCGAAGATATTTAGGATGTTTGGCGGTCATCCTCTGAGTGTGCACACACTACATTGTAATCAGCATACTGAAGCTCTATGACGGAAGTTATGATGACCTTACTCTTTGCTTTCAGCCTACTTAGATTAAAGAGCTTTCCGTCTGTTCAATATATGATTTCTACACCGGTGGGGAGTTTCCCTTTGACAATGTATAGGATTGTGACTATGAAGATAATAGAGTCGGGGTGATAACACATCCCTGTTTAACGCCTGGTCGCACTGTGAATGGTTCACTTTGAGAGCCGTTGTTATGCTTAACCTGGAAGATATGATGATGATGATAATGATGCTGTTTGGGGTTGTTTATATAAGAAATACAAACAAACAAAAAAGACCAAAATTTGAAAGCTGCTTCATATCTTACATTATTATTCCATTGGAATGTAACAGCAGTCTTCATGAAATATTGAAATATATCCTAATTTTCCTTAATTGAGACATTCTGGAAAAACAGTTTAAGTATCTTTATAAAGTTAATTCAATGTATTTTAGTCATTGGATGATCAAGGGATATTCAGCAATTATTTTTAAAATGTGAGGTATCAAACACCTGCTTTTATACTTGAAAAATTGACTTAGACCTACTCTCAAAGTGCTATCTATTATCCCAAACTTGTGGGGGTTTCAACTGAAAAGTCCATATCTATGATATCATTTAGAAACTCTCTCACAAACTCATCTCAGATTACATAGCCTGGCTTCTGCAGAGGGTATGAAATTGAGTTAACTTCCCCAATATTCATATCCTGGCATGCCAGCCCAAATGTCTGCTGAGACATCCACTTCCATTCTACGTATCTAAAATAGTTTCCCCAATGCCCTGTTCAAAATCACTCTTTGAAATGTTTCACACCAACTCTGAGCATAAGCAAATTTATTGTTGAAACTTGCAAGTCCCGTGCTTCACAGTAAGTGCTACTTCATTCTGTTATCAAAATAAGACTATGATAACAGCTTAGTATCTTTCCACGGACAAGTGGCAAGTGACCTCTCACCTGGGTCCTGGCCAAGCATTTTTGCAACCTCATATTGACCCATCTCAGCCTCCGGTAGCACTTGGCCTTGACTTGATCTTGTGGCTTTGTAAGAAACACCTGACATCACTTTCTCTTCTAGCTTTTGTATCTCCTTACCCTGGCAATGATGTGGAAACCAAGCTCACTGTTGGTGAGTCTTGGGAATAAGAAGATGGCTCTCCTGTTTGCTGTGTCCTTTCAGAGGTCTTCATAAGGTTGATGTAGAAAGGGAAACCCTATTTAAAGGGAATGAAAAAATTGTCCAGTAGCACCTTAGAGACCAACTAAGTTTGTTCGTGGTGTAAGCTTTCGTGTGCATGCACACTTCTTCAGATACACTGAAACAGAAGTCACCAGACCCTTATATAAAATGGGAGGGTGGGGTGAGGTTTTTCTCAGTAGAGTAGTAGGAGATGGGTGATTGACTCAATGGGCATGGTAAACCTGTTGGCGACTGTTAACGACTGCAATTAGTCCTACAGGAAAAAGCAAGGGATAGTATGCATATGATTAGCATACCTGAATCTAGAACCATGGAAGGTACCACACTGAGCCGCATGAAATGGAAGTCCATCAACTCTACCTACCTGAACCTATTTAAAGGAGCCCGTCTGACCCAAAAAAAGGCAATTGTACTCAGCTAGATGGGTCCTTTTAAGATTGCTTTTTCCCCAGTGCCAAATGACTACAAAGCAAAGAATCTGTTTGTTTAATCCAGGGATAACCAATGTGGTACCCTCCAGATGATGGGCGGCAATTTTCATCAGCCCCTGCCAGTATGGTCAGTGGTAAGAGATTATGAATGTTATTGTTCAAGCATAGGCAAACTCGGCCCTCCAGCTGTTTTGGGACTACAACTCCCATCACCCCTAGCTAACAGGACTAGTGGTCAGGGATGATGGGAATTGTAGTCTCAAAACATCTGGAGGGTCGAGTTTGCCTATGCCTTTTGTAGTTCAACAGCATCTGGAAGAAAGCTTGCCCTGGTTGAATCAAGGATATCAATGGGATAGCAAAAATGCCTACCTCACTACAGTGATACGGTGCTCCTTTCTGTGTGCTCTGCGCTGCTCCTGGTTTGTTTTTTTTGTCATCCATCTCCCAGTAAATCCACCAAGGTCACAGCAACTTGGGGGCCTCACAGACGGTACTTTGCCAGGCCTCCCTAAAACCTGGCATCAGTCCTGGCATTGTTAAACCTGTTTAGGTAAAAAAAGATGCTATCTCTAGGAACACTGGCATTGCATCATTCTGTTATTCATTCTATGAGTTCTCTGAGGGTCGGACTCCTAGAATCATAGAATTGCAGAGTTGGAAGGGACCCTGAGCATCATCTTCAGTCCAACCCCCTGCAATGCAGGAATATGCAGCTGTTCCATATGGGGATCAAACCTGCAACCTTGGTGTTACCAGCATCATGCCCTAACCAACTGTGCTACCCAGAATGGATTCAATTTACAAGAAAGGCGACTCTGGTTAAACATTAGGAAGAACTTTCTGACTGTAAGAGCTGTTCAGCACTGAAGCAGTGCCATCCCTCTATTGCAGGGATTTGAACTAGATGATCCTTGGGGTCCCTTTCTACAATTCTATTATTTTATCCTGTGATTTGATTTATTTGTGTGGGATTTTTTTTTATTTAAAAAAAGCACTATCTTTCAAGGTGTACCAGCCCTTGAAGGATAAAAAAGGGGTAAAGGGGACCCCTGACCATTAGGTCCAGTCATGACCGACTCTGGGGTTGCGGCGCTCATCTCGCTCTATAGGCCGAGGGTGCCGGCGTTTGTCCGCAGACAGCTTCTGGGTCATGTGGCCAGCATGACTAAGCCGCTTCTGGTGAACCAGAGCAGCTCACAGAAATGCCATTTACCTTCCCGCCTGAGCGGTACCTATTTATCTACTTGCACTTTAACGTGCTTTCGAACTGCTAGGTTGGCAGGAGCAGGGACCGAACAATGGGAGCTCACCCCGCCTCGGCGATTCAAACCGCTGACCTTCTGATCGGCAAATCCTAGGCCAGAGGTCAGCAACCCGCGGCTCCGGAGCCACACGTGGCTCTTTTACACCTTTGCCGCGGCTCCGGGGCGGATACTAGCGAGGGGAGGAGGCGCATTGTGCGCCCCGACACTCCCCACTGTGGCGGGCGCTGTACTGGCTGTGACATCGCATGGGGGCGGTGCGTGCGTTAGTCACGCACCGTCCCGACGTCACCTTCCCGCCTGCCCGCCCGCTACATTGTAAGGGGCATGTACGTCGGTCACTGCATTGAAAGGGGGCATGTACACTGGTCACTGTTTTGAAGGGGAGTGAAGAACACACACACACAAAAAGGTAACTTGTTAATTTAACGTTTATTTCTATGAGGAGGAGTAATTCTGAGGGGTCAAACAAAGAAATAATAATAAAAAGTGACAAAAAGTTATTTTTATAATGACGAGTTTTGCGGCTCCCAGTTGTTGTTTTTCTTCGGAAACAGGTCCAAGTGGCTCTTTTTGTCTTAAAGGTTGCAGACCCCTGTCCTAGCCTCTGTGGTTTAACCCGCAGCGCCACCCGCGTCCCTAAACTATGAAAACAGTAAGTATAACATGTGGTGTAGCCTGACTGGCTGTTTTCTGGGGCAATGAGCATTTCTTTTATTTCTGCTGTGATTTGTACTAAATATAATTAACTTTAACTAGGGATGGACTGAGTTTATTTATTTCCAATTTTCAATTCCTATCAAACAACCAATAAAGGGTAAATTCAAGTCAGATTCTTCACAGTATATTCTGTTCCCTGGAGATGATAAGCTCCTGATTATCTGACACTTATTTCCTAGCAAAGCAATCACTTCTGCATTTCCCCCCCAAAACAACTTTTAAAAAATTGCTTCCATTTGTTATTTAAAATACTATTTGTTTAAATAATTCCTAACACTCAGCTGCTAGCTCTGTGGCATAATTAGTGTTTAGCCCTTTGGTTAGCTTTGATTGTTATGTGCCTTTGTCCTGCAGAGAAATGTTTCTGCCTCTACTTTAGTATGCATGAACTAAAACTATGTTTCCACTTAATGAAAGAAGATGGAAAACTTTGAAGCAAATGGTTCCTATGCATTAAGCTCATTATTTATTCATCTGTTAGAGTATAATCCACTTCCCTTTATCTGAATTTTGTAAACCCCATCTCTTCAGTATGCATGAAAAGGTATGCCACCTGGAGAGTGTTGAAACACAATTAGTATATACGCACATGTAAGAAATACAGCCAAAATTAAATGTCTACAGATGCACATTTTAATCTGGGACTGGTCAGGCACAAATGAGCATGGACAAAAAGCTCATTCAGAACTCCCAGAGCCTCGTTTGACAATTTTCCCCACTTGAAAGAAATGTGGTTGTGGAATTTCTTCTATGCACACAATAAGACATTGCCTGTGGTGACTTCTAACTACATAGTCACAGCAATCCTATGAAGTAGAATCATGGAATCGCAGAGCTGAAAGGGACCCAAGAGTCATCTAGTCCAAATGCAGGAACTCAACTAAAGCATCCATAACAGATGGCCATCCAACCTCTGCATAAAAACCTACCCTTAAAGCCATCACGTGGTGGCTGTTACATGTAGATCAGTCCCTAGGCTCACTTCTTGGCTTGTGCCTACACCTGTAGGTACAAAATAACACTGCTGCCAAAGTTCCACCAATGCTGCACTTAAACCACAACAGAGCTACTTGTGCCTATCTTCTGTAAATTAAAACTACTACTTTATCCCTCCCACCATTTCTCCTAAAATGCCTTGCCTTCTTCTGTTTACTTACCAGGATGGAGCAGGGAAGGGGAAAATAATGGCCATCTCTCGTTTGTTTGGACATTCTAAAGGGGGAGAAATGTTGTGGCCCTTGGGACTGGTAGACTTACCAAGGGCTACACGTCCTAAGAACCATTAGTTCTTTTCTCCTGGTTTGCTGTTCAGGAGCAAGACACACCCCTTTCTTCTCTAATTTCACACTGCTTCTAGCCCCATTACTACTGGATCAGTAAGTAAAGGGGGAGTTTGTTTGGTGACTGAGGGGCTAATGAGGAGGTTGTTTTGAATGGCTTGGGAAAACAGCTTTTATTTACCTGCCCCAGGGGTGGAGTGAGCATTCCTGCCTCACTGAAAAACTTGGACCCAATTTGTGTGTTAGCGCTCTTCACCCTCCCCCCTCCTCTACCAATTAAAACAATTAAAGACAATGAGTCGGAAGAAACCCAACAACCTTAACCAACCTGAGGGTTTGGACTGGTTTACAAGCCCTCCTCCAGCAAAGCAGGGCAGCAAATTGTGGAAACAGAGCACATCACACAATCTGCCAATTTCCCCCCTGTTTTACTGACAAAGTTTCACTGATGATGTTAGGCGTCTCCTCCAGCCTTGCCTGTCTAAGGTTATTCTAATGTTCAATTTATATTTACGTTCTGTTTTTCAGAACAAACCATGATTTACTTCAGCATTTTGGATAGTCTGAAATCTTTTACGTTGTGCTGGTTCTCCTGGTTCATAAGTAATGTGGGGCCATATTGGCTTCTCAGTTGAAACAATGCATTCAAAGCCTTCCACAGCTTCTGTTGCCCTGTTGCCTGTGTGTACTCTTGTAGAATAGAATTATGTCTAATGAATATGGTAACAGCATGTTCTCTCCACATTTGTGGTTTGTAAGTATTTTTCTGGTACAGCTGCTCTTAATGTACCTCATAAGCCTGGTGTGAAGCAATATAAAATGGCTGGTGTTATTGCCATTACCGTTATTAACAGCTCACTTTTCTCTTCCTTTTCTCCTCCTTCAGCCTCTAATGGAAAGCAAAGCTGCACATACAAAACAAACCTTGAAGCAGTTGGATTTAACAACCTGTCTAATTGCCTGGTAAGATACTGCTTGACAACAAGATTTTAAAATGTATGCAGTACACACAATATTGCTTCTGTGTCATTTTTCAAAAATCCAGTTCCAATCTGATCTACACAAATCAAATGTCAACAGTCTAGTTCAATGATTATTTATTATCTGACCTTCTTGTACTCTCAAGAAGATGTACCTTTGCCAGTCACATAACTGAGTCCATCTGTTTGCCTCTGCCTTCATAGGAGGTGAGCAAACTGGAAACCCTAAACATAATTCATGTCCATCCAATAGAAATAGAATGTCCCTTAACTGGCTGGCAACAAAATGTTTTGGGGACTGGGACTCCAGGAAAGAAGGCACATGAGGTTCCTAACTCAAAAAGGAATAAGATTTCCTTAATGCAGACACATGCCATATAGAATACACTACACCGTCATTTGATGGCAAAATTCACAGTAGACAAATTGCTGGAACATATGGACAGAACATATTAGCTCCTAATATATTTTGTTTAGCCTGAATGATTTCTTAGTCTTTCTGCTCCTATATACTTTCCTGTTCTTACTATTTCTCCCAAAATGTAGATTTTGTAAATGTCAATATATGTTCTCCAAGTATCCTATTTAATAGATCTATATAGTTGCTCAATATTTCATGGCAAAATGTCACATTAGCATTAAACAATGCTGTGGATACACAATTATAAAGTTAAATATCTACCCTAAGACATGTGCAGTGGGGTGTACTGAATGCTAATCAAAAGCTATGACCTGTAGCATTATGCTGGGATTATGACCTTGGAAGCCATTCTACTGAAACAGGTTGAGTCAGCCATTATACTGGGATCAGCTACCAACAGCAGATGGTACAAAGCTACTGGGAGGAATTATGATCTTGGCCTAACCCAGCTAAAGTCAGGTGATGTACTGAAGCTGTTGGACAAGATAGACATCCTCCGATTTCATTAGGACTCAGTTACAACTAACTTTAGCTAGATCACAACCCAAATTAATACCTGCATCTGAATATGACTACCAAAAACCATTGCCTTTGGGGGAAGGACCATAGCTCAGTACATTGCATCTAAGAGGTCCCAAGCCTCAGTTTTCTGTTGCTCCCCATGAAAGGATCTCAGCTTGTGGGGTTAGAAAGTCCCATGTTTGATCCTTGGAGAGTTCCTTTCAGACAGGCTACACAGTCCAACAGTCCAGCTTGTTATAAAACAGTTTCATATGTTCCTGCACTTGGAGTGGTGTAAGGTGAGAGGAAACTTTTGCCAGTGGTATTTTCACTTTATTTGCATCACTAAATTTGCAAGACTTAGGCATGACGCCAGATGGAATTACCTTGATGCATTTCTGTCCACAATACCCAATATCTAATAAGTGTTAGCAGAAAACCTAGCATTGTGTATAAGAAAAGAAATGGTTTCACATATTGTGATATTCTGGCAGCACTGATGCATTTCAGTCTTAAAGGTTTTTGTTTGAATATAAGACCCATAAAAGTGGTTTGGGATATATGCTGCTCTGTTACTATATTAGTGATGTACAACTGACTCATCCAAGGTTAGAAGAAATATTGGTAACTGTAGTACTATATAATACCAGAACTCAAAATTTAGTATCAGCATGTTTGGTTGTTGCTTTTTTTGGTGTATTGGGGAACTGTGCATGTGGATTTATTTTATGTATGAGAAGTATCTAGCTCAGTGAAATCTGGCATCTGTGTCCTTGAGAATGAAGTTTTAAAACCAGTATTGAGTTGATTTCTGTCCCCCCCCCCCCAATTAACTATATAGAAACAGATGTTAGGAGACCACCTTGTACTTCTTTTTTTAGATGCTTGAAAGTGTTATCCCTTTTCAAGGAAAGTGTTTTTGAGACTTTTTCTTTTTTACAATCACTTTTATTTTTTCACACCAATCTTGAATATTTTTATATGTAGCTTTGTGATCAAACTCCAGAGTAAAGGTAAAGGGACCCCTGACCGTTAAGTCCAGTCGCGGATGATTCTGGGGTTGCGGCGCTCATCTCGCTTTATTGGCTGAGGGAGCCGGCGTACAGCTTCCGGGTCATGTGGCCAGCATGACTAAGCCGCTTCTGGTGAACCAGAGCAGTGCATGGAAACGCCGTTTACCTTCCCGCCAGAGCAGTACCTATTTATCTACTTGCACTTTGATGTGCTTTTGAACTGCTAGGTTAGCAGGAGCAGGGACCGAGCAACGGGAGCTCACCCTGTTGCGGGGATTCAAACTGCCAACCTTCTGATCAGCAAGTCCTAGGCTCTGTGGTTTAACCCACAGCGCCACCCATGTCTTGCATCCAAAAAAAATTTCATGTGATTCTTGCACAGACATACTTACCTAGCAGGATAGATATAGTTATCACATATTTAGGTTACTATAACTAAGGACACAACTCCCAGTTGCAGCAAGGGCAGACTTTAGATTTTCTAATTTTAGCAACACCTTGTGAGAGGCCCAAATTTGGTGCCTCGCTCCACCTCATCTTCAATTCTGCTCAAGTCAGTATACTATGTCATAGTTGTGATGCCTTGCAGTGCCCCCTAGGCTGGGCACCACCTCTGATTGCAGTTTCTCTCTTTATCATCTTTCCAATCTTAAAATCAGTTCTTCACATTTCTACAGCAATTTGAAATATATGGATAATTACATATATTTGTCAGCATTCATATGCATTTTCTTGTGTTATTTTCGCATGTGCGCATGTGTGTGCACATGGCACATTTATGTCAGCATTGGCTAAAGGACAGCATCGCAAGATTCAAAGAAGTATGGATTTTGGAGGATAGCTGTATATAGGTGCACGTATTGGTCACAGCATGCAAATTAGGTGGTTTCTCATTAAAATTTGAGCAAAAATGACTTCCCTCCCAATTCTAGCAGATACCAATAATGGAATTTTGTGAGAAGATTTATAGAAAGGTTTAGAAATCCAGTCCTGAATATATTCAATATTTAGTTTTGAAAGTGTGATTCATTTTTAAATCATTAGCTGGGTATTTTTTAATGTCTAATTATAACTATATGAGATAATCAGTCACCCCCTTTGAAGTAAATGGAATTGTGCCTTGTTTCTGAACAAAGCCAGTACAAATACCACTGTATTGTTTTATATTTACCAAGTGTAGAATACCAGTAATTTGGAAAGAAATGTAAGTGCTATTTAGGAATAATAACATTGTTACCCACCTTGCCCTCCCTAAATGGTGCCTCTGGGCATCTTTGAAGGAGAGTGATCAGATTCCTATTATCAACCACTAACAGACACAGGAAATTGAATTAATATAGTAAATGTAGAGTAATTTAGTTAAGGACTTTCTGTTCATAGGGGCCACTGGATCACAGAGCCCTTAAATAATTTATTCCATCTTTAGCTAATCAATTCAATTGTGCATGCCTGTTGATAATAGGAGTCTTAGCAAGCTTTTCCAAAAACACCCAGAGGCACCATTTAGGGAGGGCAAGGTGAGCACCAATGGGAAATATTGTACACTTGCACAGTCATTTCCCTTTGTATACACTATGTGTTTCCCTTGTGTAGAAGATAATAGGAAATTATTGTGGGCGCCAGAATCATTGCATGCATTAAAGCCCCTGGATCACAGCCAATGAATCTTAAACACAAAAGAATTTCCCATTATCTTCTACACAAGGGAAACACATAATATATCTACTGGGAAATGCCTGTGCATGTACAAAATGTTTACCTCTCTCATATAAGGAAAGGAGATTTTTCCATGTGTGAGGGATTCAGCACATGCAACTAAAGGGCTTTGTGGGCCCTGTGCTTTGGCCAGTGGTTTTAGTGTCTACATAACGTGCAGGAAACAAATTAAAATATATAATGGGGATTCTAATTGTTAAGGCCTATTGATGTGGACAAACCGCTTGAAGGGATCCAGCTAACCACTTGTCCTCTTGAACCTTGCTCACAGTGGGTCTCAAGAGTGAGCCGGAAGGGGTCAACTGGTTGAGTCTAGTGAGTTGTAAATGTCTTGTTGTGGGAGGGAACTGGTACCATTGACCCTTAAAGAGGTGGCTGTGCACTGTCTCTCTGAACTCTGTAGTTTTAAAACATGTATTAGCTAGTTCCTCTCCCTTCTTAGGCAAGATGCTCAAGATGGCGGTGGCAGGTATACTCAAGCTTTTTCAGTCCAGGTTTTGTTTCCTGTTTTCATTGGAATTCTCCAATATCTCTAACTATATGAAACGCACACTGGGACCGCACGGTGAAAGGCTAAAAATGTGCATAATTTGATAGACAAAATTTATTAAACAGTGTATTTTCCCATTCTGTCAACCCATACTAACTCAGAAATGAGCCCCCCCACCCCAAGCTAGGGATATTCTGACAAGCAAAAGTTAATCGCCTGATTAAATGCTCATGAACAGGGTGAGCAGGGCTCCATCCTGTGAGCAACATCAACCACTGCTTCTGTCTTTCCCCCCTGTTTTCAAGCCCAAACCTATTTATGAGGAATGAGCATGATGTGAAAAGTAGAAAACAACTCCAAACATGAATTATATCTAACTTTATAACTATATTAGGGTTTTGCTTTTTGTTTTAATTCTAAGCTTAAACAGTTGAGACAGTTAAAGCATATGTAGCTGTAGTATGAAACTTGATGAAAACTTAGCGGGACTTTTTTATTTGAGCAGAGTATTTTTCTTTTAAAGCTGTTGTAACTTTTTATTTTGTTTCATGCAAGCCAACTTCATAAGGGCACCTATCTTTGCTTTCTCTTTATTACCACCTTGATCTGACCACACTGTTCTGTTCTCATGGATGAAACAAACTCTATGAGGCAAACCTGTCCTGAAAAATATTATCTTCAAAAGGTTGAGTCATCTGTTTGATGTACCATTTTATAAACCATTAAACCATGTCCAAACTATAGGTCTTTCAGGAACATAATAAGGAGACTGTGAAAACAAAGTCTAATAATAATGAACCTTTAACAATACAGTTGTGCAATGTTGGAACCTGTTGATTAGCAAATAGTCAACTTGAGGTTTGATGTCTGTGTATTAAAAAAAAATGCGTCGGTGCTGAAAGCAGGAAGATTATTTTAGGAGATTTTAAAGTTAGAGAGAGAGAGAGAGAGAGAGAGAGAGAGAGAGTGTTATTATGTCTCTATCAGCTCCTCAGATTGATGCCTACAATAATATTCAAACAAAACAAATTATAGGCATAATTATTAGTATGGATGGTATTAGTATGGATGGCAAACACTGCAAATAAATTCTAAGGAAAAATGCAAACACCTGGAATTTCTGGACTCCGAAAAATATCGCAAAATAGATAAATTAATAGAATCCATGGGCCCTGACCTGATTTTGGTGTAATAAGTGTTTATGGAATGGGTCATAAATAGAATATGGTAAACACTCAAATCCCATAGCATTGGTACAGCTATGCATGTGCATTGGTACCTGTGTCTGCCTTCTATTAGCTTCCTGTTTTAACTGTTTTATTTTTTATGTTGTTTTAATGGGCTTGTTTATTGTACGCTTGAATTATTGGTTTTTGTTTTAATGTTTTGTCGAAGTGGCCTAATACTGTATTTCAATTAGGTGTGGTCGTATTTTTGTAACAGGTGTTATATCTGTAAACCACTTAGAAACCATTTTAGTAATAAGTAGTAAGAGTAGCAGCAGCACCAATAATAATAATAATAAACCTGGCTGCTTGTGTTGGTGTTGAACACCACCCAGACCTGATTGGGCTTTGCAAGGAGATGGAGATTTAATTGTGGAGAGGACTGAGGAGAGATCAGATTATGAAACCTACCTCTTTAAGTGGGATAGTGGTTCTTAAATAAAACCACAGAAAAATTAAAAGGTATTTGAATCAGTTGAATCAGTAGTTCTACCCAAAGTGGGACACCACTACTGAATTGTCACTTTCCCAGCTGTGGCAACACTGCTTCTTTCTGGGACTGGAATGGGGCAGGGCAGCAACGAGGGCAAGGGAAGCATTGGAATTGGCAGTGGCAATAGGCACAGAGTGTGTACAGGAGTTGGGAGGGCACTTCAGTGGTGGTGCCATACCTCATACACTATGACTGATTTGGATGAAACATTGTATGAGGTAAGGGATAGGCTTGTCCACCCAATTTCAGGGGAAAGTTTACCCAATATTGTGGTAGTGCCAGGAAGTGTAATTCTTTAGCTTTCCCAATAGCAATGAATAATAGCATTTTACATCTAATATGTAAAAATAAAGGGATGTTTTCAGAGTTACTGCTTGAGTAGAGAATAAACTTGCCCACCATCCTTCATGACTCTAGTTTCTTTGACGAAGCAGACTTTAGCCATCCTTTAACAACCTTGCTGGATGTCATTCACCCATCCCATATTTTCTTTCATTTTCAGTCCAGCCTTTTTCTAGCTGCATAATTCTCATTTCTTGTACATTCTAGAATGTGACACTAAAATATGATAAAGTCCATGAGATTGGCTTTTATGATACAGGACGTATGATGTCAATATAATAGAAAAGGCCTCAGTCAAATCGTACAACCAGTCATTAGTCCTTGGGTTGGCTGTGGCTTCTAGGATAGGAGTGCATTTGGTGGGCTAATGTGACAGCTGTAGCCTTTTAATAATTCTCAGCATCCCCTGCAGTCATGTAAAAGACTGTGTATAACCTCTAGGATGATCATTTACTGCAGATCTCTCCTGCCATTTCTGTAACAGCTTGACCCACATGATCGACGATGTAGTAGCTTAAAAACAGACAGGCTCAAAGCCAGCTAAATAATAATGCTAGAGTAATAACACAGGAGCGGAAGGTTGGTTCCATCGTTCATGCCATAGCACAGCATATTCTGTCATAAAAGTGATGGGGCTATAGACCAAATTGTCTTTTTGGAAAAAAGTCAATGGAGAAATATCACTCATGGGGCTTTGGAAGAGACAGCTGATGTTTCCTCTAAATGGTGTGTCAAAGGCTATTTGTGGTACAACATGGCGCTAGACATTTGGTAGGCATTCCCTGTATTAAGCAAATCTGATGGAAAGTCAATATTTATTGGCTTAATTCAGTATGTTGCATTACTTTATTAAGGTCTGCTTCATTTCTCATGCTCCAGGTTTGACATTCTACCGCCAAATCAGGAGTCTAGGAGAAATCCCTCTTTCCTGAAAATAGGTACTTATAATATCAATGTCTTCAGCTGAACTGGCCTTCCTTCCTGCACAGACTTCACAGTGGTCCCCCCATCTGCTGTATAGAACTCTGCAGCTGAGGGATCAGGGCTGGATTGCATTGAGTGCCAAGTGCCTTATGGCACTCTGATGGAGACCATATCACAACAACTAGTCTGTGACTGAGATATTAGAGCTGATCCAAATCTGTATTGGGGTTCCATCAGGCCATTGTGACAAAGGTTGGTATTAATGAGAGGGTAATCTTGATGTCTTATTAGCATGTAAGACATTCACTGGTTATGGTGATTTGGACCTGACATTTTGTTTTAATTTTCCTAAAAGTTTTGTTTTGATATGATATGGAAACATGGCCATAGAATATTGTTTCTGCAGCTATCTTGGAATGATTATTTCTGTTTTCTTGAAAATAAGGATTGGAACATATCTGCATTTTGCATGGCCATACAGCTGAAAGCACTATGTAGAGAGCCATTTACTTGATGGCTAAAGTGCAGATCAGTGGTGCTGGTGTTTCATAAAAGTAGTTTTTCTTTTCCTTTTTCTTTCTATTTTTTGCAATCAATGCATTGTAAATTAAATGGATGGTATCAACTAAATTTTACGCAGAGTAGACACATTTAAATTAATCAACATTTCTAAGTTAGGTCTATTAATTTTAGTGGGTGTTCTCTGAGTAGCTGAATACCACCCAGCTTTATTTTATTTTTACAATCCACTAACTAAAAGAGACAAACACCTTAGTTCAAATATATAAGAAGCATATACCACAATTTGCAGTCAAATCAAGTTATGAAGAAAGCATGAAATTCAGATCTGACATACTTTTAAAACCTAAGCGGAAGGCACACTTAGCAAACCCTCACCATGATCAACTCCTGCCCAGAAACCTATGTCCCTACTGTGGACATGTGGATCCAGAATTGGCTTCCACAGTCACTTACAGACTCACTGCTAAGACCACGTTCATGGAAGACAATCTTACTCAGCTACGAGTGATCGCCAAAGAGAGAGATTCGGAACTGGCAAGAGGGACAGAAGCAGGTTGATAATTTTAGATTTACTGTGATATTTTCCATCCTCATAAATATATTTCTAAATTCTGTCCTAGTGTGGGGTAGGACAGAGGAAAGGAGACCTTAGGATCATTTAAATCACAGCCACTTCCTATACTTCTGCAATGTCCCCTTTTTAGCCCAGCTCACATTGGGCTTTGGTGCAGTTAAAGATTGAGGCTCTGGTGTCAAAGCTACCTCTCGGATGATGTAACTCCCGTATTCATTGATGGAGGTTGCTTACATGTCCAATGGCTTCTGGTACCCTTTCCCAAGGACCATAAAACTGCGCCCTAAAATCCTCTCAAAGTGCTATATTTTGTGAACACAGACTTTTGCAGACTGATTTCAAAAGAGTGGCTTGATTTGTAGGCATCTGTTGTGACCAGACCAGTACAGACTTTGATTGACATAAATAATAATAATACAGTGGTGCCCCGCAAGACGAATGCCTCGCAAGACAAAAAACTCGCTAGACGAAAGGGTTTTCCGTTTTTTGAGCTGCTTCGCAAGACAAATTTCCCTATGGGCTTGCTTCGCAAGACGAAAATGTCTTGCAAGTTTGTTTCCTTTTTCTTAACACCGTTAATACAGTTGCGACTTGACTTCGAGGAGCAACTCATAGAACGCAGTGTACATAGTGGCCTTTTTTGAGGTTTTTAAAGACTTTGGTGATTTTTGAAGCTTTTCCAAAACTTCTTTTGCAGCCATTTGGTAAGTTAAGCTTTTAAAACTTTTTTGGGGGCTTTTGGATTTTGGGTTGGGGTGTTTGGAATTCAAGGACTTGGTGTTGGGGAGGGGTTTGCAAGAATCTGGAAGCTTGTGTGTTTTTTTCTGCATTTTTATGATTTTCTGTGACCATTGGGCAACTCTGCTGTTTTTTAAAAAAAATTCTGGGTTTGAATTTTGAAATGCTCTTTACAGTATGTGTGACTTTAAAGAGCACTTAATAAACTCTTGTTGTACCAAATTTGGCTTTGTTTGGACTTTTTTTGACCATAGGAACGCATTAATTGATTTTCAATGCATTCCTATGGGATTTCGTGCTTCGCAAGACGAAAAATTCGCTAGACGAAAAAATTCGCGGAACGAATTAATTTCGTCTTGTGAGGCACCACTGTAATAATAAACAAGTTTCATGATTTGTTTAATGCATTAAACAAATGCTAGCTACACTATGCAAACCTCCAATATTTTTATTCACATTCATGCTTCAGTCTCTGCGCAGTATTCATTATGCATTTTGAGACTACTGTGGACTACAAAATCCATGATTTAGTGTTACGGTGATCAAAGTACATCTACATGGAAATATTCAGGGCCTTCATAACATCAAAAATAGCAACTGTGGCAGCATAAATGGAAGCAGCTGAAATCTAATGGCGCTTGCAGATATTCTGCAGAAATCTATACCCCTGGAGAAGGTTTAATGGCAGAATTCCATATATTTGTGATCTTAATTAATATGCATAGTAGCTGAGCTCTTCCTATGTGGTTGTAAACTGAATAATCATCCAAGCCATAATTTACTTTAGAAAACAGTGCAGAAAATATGCTGTAGCACTGTAATTAGAAACTAAGAAACTAAGCATTTAAGATTTAAGCAACATTAAAAGAGATCTGATTCCTCATCTGCTGGTATAAATCAATCTTCTATAAAATATCATAATTGATTTCATGATACAATGTTATCTGCCTGCAGTGACATTTACAAGCATGCATTAAGAATGAATTCATCTCTTACTAGTATGCTTATATGTGTCAATATTTGTCAGTTTTTTTTACTATTAAGTGCTTCTACAAATGTCCGCTTGGTCTTCTTTCAGTTAAAATGACCTTGGTAAATATCTGCACATGTGTTTCCTGGAGTATTTTTGTTAATTGGGCAAAACAAAATCAGCTGTGTAATTGATAATGGTAAAGAAATTAACTGTACATTAAACTAGAGTACCAGAAAGATTAATCTACTGATGAGGCAATTATTTGGGAATTCACATAATCAATAAGTATTTAGAAAGAATGTGAACATTTTCTATTACAAGATAAATCTATGAAAATGGTGTAGGAAATCAATAAACTATTGTCTTGTGCTGAATGAGAACTATAATTTGTCATGTTCCCACATTATTAGATCTATTGTCCAAATGTCCGTTGAAACCTGCCAGTGAAACTTTATTATACAACTTTGTCCTAAAAAAAACCCCCCACCTACATAGGGGCCTTCTGAGGAATGAGACAATTTCCCACTTCGATTTGTTTATCGTTCTTTGGTTTTGCTGTGCCTCAAAGTCTGGTTTAAATAGGAGAATTTCTCAAGCTAATTTTGGCATTGGAGCATTTACAGCAGAATACAATGTTGGATGAGTCTCCTGAACTACTGGAACTTCCTGGTCTGCAAAACATGCTATGGAAGAGCTACTTCATAATGTCTTCCACTGAGCTTTAATTGAAACATGGAAAGCTGTTTCAATTAAAGCTCAGTGGAAGACATTATGAGGTAACTCCTTCCATGGGCTCTTTTGCACACCCAGTAGGGCAGGCAGGTGTCAGTGAATTTTTTTTATAGAAAGGAAAACACAAACCACACATCTCACAGTGATAAGATGAACTTCACCTTGCACCCACCAAAATTCTAAACAAATTCTGAAGTTTCCTGCAAATAAAACAGAAAAACAGGAGGCAATTGGGTGGGAGAAGATGACTTTTGAGAAATTGGAGGACTAGCAAAGACAGTGATGAAATAGGTTGAACGATGGTCTGACTTGGTTTGAGTAAGCCTTAAATAAGCCATAACGAATAGTCATAAGAATTGCTATCATCATATGTAATGCTAAATGTACCTTAGCTTGGTTTCACTGGGGTTGCAGTTTATCAAGAAATAATAAATAAAAAAAACAGCAGTGAAAGAAAAACAATTTGGTGTAGGTCTATCTTTGCAGAACTGGCTTGCACGAACACTACAACAATGCAGGATCAGGATTTATATAGATGACTTAGGGCAAAGCAAAGGTGAAGAAGAAACAAAGGTAGAAAAGCTCAATGGGGCTGATGTTTACTGCTACAGGAGGTCAAAACCTCTGAAGGCAAGGCATTCAAAAGCTGCTCTAAAGATCAGTCAAAATGCAGGCAGGGGAATCTGGAAAGGACAAGGCAAGAGGAAGACATAGTCATCCTGAGCAAGTAAGTGCACCTGTGAGGCTTTTTTGAATCCCATTGTGGCTCATTAAGTAAGTAACACACTGAAGCAGACAAAGAGAAGGATGTGTAGGATAACTTCCACAGTGCAACTTTCAGCATCTGAACTTCAAGAAAGCAAATACCTTGCTGATAATAAACGAAGGGATTTTCCCCCGCCCCAAAGCTGGGATCTGGATCCTAAAAAGCACTTAAGTGATTTCTGTTCATCTACACAATTCATCCTTTGTTTAAAGTATCACTTTGTCATTCAAACAATACAATACTTTTTATACATGGAGAATTGAGCAATGAAATTAGTGAGTATTTTAGCGAAGTTAAACAAATTGTCACCTTTATCAATGTAATACAAAGACAGCCTTCAATCACCACTTACCTACGGATTTTTGATGACACATTCTGGGGGGAAAATACATTTAAAAGTTTATATTAAAATAAACTTGAATGAGTCAGCATAACGTAGCTAGATGGTCTTGCCTACAATGGTGATAATGTTCTTCTGCACACAACGGGTCCTTCATAAATTCATTTGTTTATGAATAGTATATCCATTGCGATAAAAAGTAGAAATCCTACTATTTTTCCAGAACTCCATAATGGTGAGAAAATATTTTTTCACCATGCTCTTAGAAGAAGAATGTCAAATAGCCCCTTCTTTTCATAAAAGATTACAGCCATAATTGCTTAAAGTACTTAACTGTTTGAAGCAAGTGATAAAATAAAATAAAATAATAATAATCAATAAGGATTCAGTCAATAATTGTTAGTAGGGATGCAGTCCTGAAAAGTTTTTCCCACTGAGCTAACACACACAGGCACATAGCTTGAGGAACCCCAACTCTATTCTTGATGGTTTGTGGCATCACAACCATTCTATTAAGTTTTTATTTTTTTATTGTTTTAAAGACACTGGGGTTGACAGTGTGGAAACACATGAATTACAGGTTCCATAAAAAGTCACTGCATTTGAACTTGTTCCATGACCAGGCCTAAATTCAGTTTGGATTGGGCCTAAATAATCAGTATCATCTAAGAATGCCAGCATCCCCACCCTGCAATGATCCTCTCCACTACCAGTGTTTGTAACTAGTTAGTCCAAGGTAATTGATCCAAGTTCAGCTTTTATAGGAATGGTTGTACCACTGCCATTTTCAAGGTGGCAGGGACCACCACCTCATGCACTGAAATCTTTACCAGATTCTTGACCTAACCAGTCAAACTTTCTCTGCTTCATTTAATAAGCCAAGAGGGACAGAAGTCAAGAGAGCACATGATTGGCCATAGCATGGCAAGCATTTTATCAGACTGTATAAACTCAAGCGTAATCCTACACCATTTCACATGCTATGACATTGGACACTTCAGTCAGGACTGCAACTGCAGAATCAAGACCTCTCCAAAGTCGAGCAACTTTGATTTGGTGGTTATTTAAATATTTATAAACCACCCTTTGGTAGAAAATATAACGAAGGTGCAGAACAGAGAAACATCAAAACAGAGTAAAAAAATCAATAAAATAGTAAAAAAGGAAAACTGGGTTCCAATGTACAGTTTTTAAAAGACATTTAAAAGAAAACAGGGATGACTCCTGCTGAACTTCAGTTGGCAAAGAGTTCCCTAAATCAGGCATAGGCAAACTCGGCCCTCCAGATGTTTTTGGCCTGCAACTCCCATGATCCCTAGCTAGCAGGACCAGTGGTCAGGGATAATGGGAACTGTAGTCCCAAAACATCTGGAAGGCTGAATTTGCCTATGCCTGCCCTAACGGCTTGGTCCCTGGTGAAGGTTGACTGAATCTCAGAGACATAAGTGGCCACCCAAAATGTGCAGTCAACTCGTCACAGTCAGTCTTCAAGGGCTCCAACAGTCCCACCCCATAGTGGGAATCAGCAGCCTCTGGAGAACTTGTAGAAACTCCACCAGTAAGTTGTTTGAAGATGCAATGCAGGCTGCAACATGCGCTTTCTTCACTGCTTGCAGTGCTACATGGTAGGCATGATAATGCACACTATGCAGCCTCAGAGTGAGAGATGCACACTTCACCTAGTCATTTTATCTAATCATATTTTAGTGGAATTCTTCTTGCAACTTTACCTGCATCTTCTGTTCACTTGACTGCCCTAAGATTGCCTAGGATTAAGTTGACCTTGATTGATACAATGAAACGTTTTAAACCACCTCTTTTCAAAAATATAAATGATGGCTGTTTCTCCATCAGACAAAAATGGGGGGGAGGGACCCACTTATTGTTTTAGAACAATTACTCTTAAGGACCTCCAGTTTCACTGTTGAAAATCTACAGTGATGTTAAATAAATGTACAAGATGTTAAATAAAATTGCCTATAAAATATTGACGTGCACATTAAGTGATTGCAAAATTGTATTCTGGCATGGCTCTTTTGAACAATATTTCACATCTGTACAATATATTAAAGCACTGAATTCAATTTGTCAATATAAAAGCACACGACCTCAGGCCTTCTGCAGTAACTATGCAAGTCCTGCATAGTTTGTAATTAGCAAGAATGAGGTTGCGCTCTCTTCCAGTTCTTTGAACTTCTGTCCCCTTCTTAACATCTACATTTTGTTTTGTTCCACAGACCCTTGCTATAGGATATATGTTCCATCTGTTTTCATTGAATCATCCACTCACCTATTTTTATCTGTTTCTTTTTTAGAAAAATGTTTTATTCCACCTTCCCATGATTGCTCACATTATTTGAAAGCATATATACAAAACAAGTATAAAGTAATAACACATACAAGTGCAAGAATACAATCAACCTAAAAACAAATGGGCTTGAGATAGGTCCCTGTATGTTCAGGAGGGAGAATGTGAACCCAGCTCTTGTGTAGTTGCCTCGTAAAAATGAAGGCAACCACCGATAAGTCCATATCCCTTACAGGTGGTAAATGTCGCTTTCTGAATAGAGAAGACCTGTAGCAGGTCCATAGAAGATTATCTGCGTCCCCAGTTTTGGGGGTGTTCATTTTTAAGTCCTAGAGGAGGAAACAATCAATGTGTAAAACAGATGCCAAAGTTACCATTACAATCCTATTAGAATCAGATGAATAACTAAATTGCTAAGCCCCAATGCAGCCCAAATAAGAAAGCTCTTACATCACTGTGAGAGAGACTGAGGAGAAATGCTGATGGTGCCAAAGCCTTCATATGAAGGTGAAGCTTCATGACCAGGAAGGAGCAGGCGTAGGATGGGGCTGAATGCAGGGTCATGAGGAAAGCTGCAGCTCTGCAGCAGAAGACGAGGGCGTTGCTTGTATTTATTTACATTTGTAAGTCACCTCATAAAATAATTTCTACAGGTGATGTACAGAAAACCACATGTAAATCAAGGTTAAAAATGCAATAAATTACAGTTGATTCAACATTTAATCCAACACCAAGATCAAAGAATAATAAAAAGTAAATGTTGGACACAGTAAACAAGAGACTTAATACACACAGAGGCACTTGGAACTAAAACCACCTCACTCGAGCTAAAACCACCCATTCAGCATTATGTGGCAGTGACTAATATTTAAATAGTATTAAAAGATGTTAAAACTGGCTTGAGGTCTTTGCCCCTGGGATAGTCACCTTCTTCCATTCAGTGGTTCATGTGAGCCTGAGGGATATTTTGTGTAGGAACAGAGGGATCTGTCAATGTAGGTTTCTCTCAGTTTCTCATTTTTCCTATCTTAAATTACAGTTCCCCCCACATACACATTTTAATGTGCATTTCTCCTAAATACACATTCTTGTGCAGTATTACCAAATATATATATATATTTGAGGTTGTCCAAAATATTACCTGCGGAGCACTGAAGAGTTCTTGATAGATAGATTGATAAAGTACAGCAGCAGAGAGTTGTCGTGGGGTTTTTTAACTCAAAAGTTTCATGTACAAAACAAACAGAACCCTATATTGATCTGCATTAAAAAGAACAGACAGAGAATAAAAACATCAAGAGCTCTACAGAAAGCATTCTGGACAACCTAACTTTGTGGAGGACGCAAAGAGAACTGGTGTGAAGCTTGAAATGTCTTTTTAAAAATATGCAAGCGATAATTTACATCATTTGCCAACCTCTTAATTGTTACAAGATAAGAAAGTCTCCCTCGGCCTGTAAAGCAAGATGAGCATCACACCCCCAGAGTCATCTGCGACTGGACTTAACTGTCAGGGGTCCTTTACCTTTTTAAGAAAGAACAAGAAGCAAATCTCTTATGGAGGAAAGAAACCCCTTTCAACTTCTTCCACATAAAGCCTCTGGACCTATTCGGTAGGCTTAATCCACATGGAGCTGCCCTTGTGCCTGTAAATTTTGGCCCAAAGTGGGGAAATTCTATAGACATTTTTGGATTCCCCATTATATAGTGAATGAAGAAAACAAATCCTAATTTTATACAGAGCCGTTTGGACCCATAACTACAGACTGAAGTGGGAAAAGTACAGGACAACTCAGAACCAATTTTTTAAAGGCACAGATGCAGACAAAGTAAATCTTGGGGGCCCTGCACACCCTTAGCTATTAGCACCCCCACTTCTTCTACTGTCTCCTGGCACCCAAAGGTAAGCTGGGAATTTCTGTTCCCCATGCAGTGCTGAGGCTTCTGGCGAGCAAGTTCATTATTCCCTATTAATGGAGCTTCCTTACAACTCAAAAATAGAGTGATAGTTCAGAGGCAATAAAATACCAAGGTTGTCCCAATAAGTATTTAATACTTTTGGAAAAGAATCTGTTTGAGGCCAATTGTGACAAGAAGGTCAAGGGAGGAGTAAAAAGAGCTGCTACTGTGGTTTTAAGTATGACATGTTTTATGGATGACCCCGCAGTCTACTCACAAGTGTAGCTGAACTTCAGCTAAAGCTTTAGCATCAGTGTTCATTAAAATGGTAATAAAACTGTTTGCTCTCTTCATCCCATCTCAAAGCCCACAGCATTCTGGAAATATTTACACATGCCATATGGCCACACAGAGTATTATAAATTTTCACTGGAGAGGTTTTAGAATTCTAAGTTCTGTTCCCTTCAAAATGCCAGAGGAATCACAAATGCCTTAAATAACCCAAACATTTACCTTATCTATGTCTTCCTGTTTTATACCTCATTCTCCTTTCCTCTCCTTCATGTTTTGATTAAGATCTGTACTGTAAGTTCTCCACTAACTCTTGTGAATCACTTCCTCCAGTAGTGGAACTGTTCCCTCTCTCCCAGACTACTGTCAAGAGTCCTGGGATTTCTCACTATTTCAATGATTTTTTAAGCTGTTGTTGCTGGCTCAAGGTTAGTTGTTTCTTAAAATGTGCCTACAACATCTCTTAGTTAGTCTTCTCTCTATGAGGTCCCATTGAAGAGGGGAAGGTAGCCAGTGTCATGGGTTTCTTCATTGTTTTAGCCTTGGCAGGTCCTGACTCTGTCGGGTGCTATTTTCCCCTCTAAGTTTAGCTGTCTTCAGACATTCAGAAGAAAGCATGAGGGTTGAACTTGGGACATGCACAATTCCCCCACTCCAATGTTTCTGTGTGCACTGCCCTGTCCCCTCAGCTCCTGATGTCTGCAAGGAGATTCCAGTTGTTCAGCTGAATGTGTTTAGAATCCTCCTTTCACTCTGAATGCAGAGAGGATTCTAATGGTCTTCATCTGAACCTGGCTAGAATCCCCCTTCCCAAGACTTCCACAATGAATGCACGAAGGTCAGAAGTGGAGCATATTGGTTTTGGGATCAAATAAGGCCACAACTTTATTGGTTACAGATGCGTTCCCCCCCCCCCAGCAGTCCCTATTGGAGGAGTGGTATGATCCTAGCCCCCGTCTGGGCATTGGACAAGAGCCACTCCTCCCAGATCCTTTTAACAGGATACCCTTACCTGTGGAGGGGCAGGCAGAGACTACAACCTCCCCTCCAACCAAGACTTGTTGTTTAGTCGTGTTTGACTCTTCGTGACCCCATGGACCACAGCACGCCAGGCACTCCTGTCTTCCACTGCCTCCCGCAGTTTGGTCAAACTCATGATGGTAGCATCGAGAACACTATCCAACCATCTCGTCCTCTGTCATCCCCGTCTCCTTGTGCCCTCCATCTTTCCCAACATCAGGGTCTTTTCCAGGGAGTCTTCTCTTCTCATGAGGTGGCCAAAGTACTGGAGCCTCAGCTTCATGATGTCTCCTTCCAGTGAGCACTCAGGGCTGATTTCCTTAAGAATGAATGGGTTTGATCTTCTTGCAGTCCATGGGACTCTCAAGAGTCTCCTCCAGCACCTTAATTCAAAAGCATCAATTACACCGGTCAACAACAAATTTGTTGTCTGCACTTTTTCAGTTGATTTAGGACGAATCTGATGCGCTGAATCCAAAAATCACATTGGTTTTGCTCAATCAGGTCAAGTTTTTGAGCTATGGCCACATGTCATTTTTTTACGTTTTTGTTCACATGTACGCTTGTGTGGAGCATTTTAGAAGAAGTTGGTGGGGGTAAAATGCCATGTCGAATAATTGTTTTGATTGGAAATGATTATTTTAATGACAAGAAGTATTCAGGTCCGATAGTTCTGGGTGATTATGTCAAAAAGGGATCAGTTTGAAGTCATAAAATCTCGAAATCTTCCATAAATTGGTGCGGCAAAGCATAAAGTTGGGGGATCAAAAATAAGTTAATGGGCAGCCGCCCCGTGAAGTATCCTGATCATTGTCCTGTAGCTCATTGTGATGAAATTCCAGTGCCTATCTTTGGAGAACTTCCTGACATTAGTGACGAAGATGCCTCCAGTGTTGAAAGACATGAAGAAGAAGAAGTGGTTCTTGAAGATGATGCTCCACATCCATTTTCCCAAAAGGAGTTGAATGATCTAGTTCGCGACCTCAGCTTGTCAAAGGACTCTGCCGAACTGTTGGCATCCAGATTGAAGGAAAAAAACCTCCTCTCTGACAGTGCTCGCATCAGCTTCCTCCTCAACAGGCATCAAGAGTACCTCCGTTTTTTCTCGGAAGAGAAGGACTTGGTGTATTGTGCAGATATTGCGCAGCTTCTGCTCAAGCTTGGAGTGCCACAGTACGAACCCAAAGATTGGAGACTGTTCATTGACAGCAGCAAGCGATCACTGAAATGTGTTCTGCTACACAATGGCAACCAGTTTGCTTCTATACCCCTGGCTCATTAGAGTACACTGAAGGAGAACTATGAAGCGGTGAAGTATGTGCTGGAGAAAATTGGTTGTGATCAGCATAAGTGGTTTATTTGTGTTGACCTGAAGATGGTGAACTTTTTGTTGGGACAACAGTCTGGCTTCACCAAGTACCCATGTTTTCTGTGCATGTGGGATAGTAGGGACCGTGCTCAGCATTACACGAAGAAGGACTGGCCTGTGCGGGAGGAATTGGTGCCTTGCAAAGAAAGCAACGTCATCAACGACCCTCTGGTGGACAGAGACAGAATACTCTTCCCACCGCTGCACATCAAGCTCGGCTTAATCAAGCAGTTCACCAAGGCTCTGGACAAGGATGGTGACTGCTTCACTTACTTGTGCCAGGCTTTTCCAGGATTGACCATGGAGAAGTTGAAACCTGGCATCTTTGACGGTCCTCAGATCCGTCAGCTCATCAGAGATCCAGAATTCAGAAAGTCAATGAACGAAGTGGAACTGGAAGCGTGGAAGGCATTTGTTCTGGTAGTGAAGAACTTTCTTGGCAACAATAAGGCCAGAAACTTCGCAGAACTTGTCAACAACATGCTGACTGCTTTCAGAAACCTGGGCTGCAACATGAGCGTCAAGATGCACTACCTATTTTCACATATGGACCGGTTTCCTGAGAACCTGGGTTCAATGAGTGACGAGCAGGGGGAGAGATTCTACCAGGACATGAAAGAGATGGAGACCAGGTATCAGGGTCACTGGGACACAGTCATGATGGCTGACTACTGTTGGACTCTGAAGAGAGACCTCCCTGCTGCTGAGCATTCCAGGAGTTCCAAGAAACGGAAGTTCAAGCCCTGAAGTTTAAAAAATGGTGAAGCGACATGCAATTTACGTGTACTTACCTTTATCAATGCCCACCATTCAGTTTACAGTAAACCTGACCTGATGGAGAGAAACGGATGCCATTTCCTGATTCAGCAGTGCAAAAATACCCTAAATCAGTTGTAGAAATCTAGACAACATTCAAAAAGTAAAAAATTGTTGCCCAGTGTTATTTGGTGATCAGCCTTCTTTATGGTCCAGCTCTCACTTCCATACATTACTGCTGGGAAAAGCATAGCTTTAACTATACGGACCTTTGTTGGCAAGGTGATGTCTCTGCTTTTTAAGATGCTGTCTAGGTTTGTCATTGCTTTTCTCCCAAGAAGCAGGCGTCTTTTAATTTTGTGCCTATCCGCCTTATAAAGTTGTGACGATTGCTGTGAGGAAGGCAAAAACCCAAATGGTGGTGCCAATTAGCCAAGTAGCAAAAATTCCTGCCCAACCCCTGAAAATTAGGCAATTCACATTGTCCATAGCAAGGTCGTAGCACCTGTGAAAAAACCCTAATCTGAGGGTGGGTGAACCGGCGCAGTGAGAGATGCCAAAAGGCCCTGTAGGCCTAGTATTTAAACTTCCCCTGGATGTGGTGCCAAGGGCTGTAATTGGTTGGTTGGTCCTGTGCTCAGGGGAAGGCCCCTAACTCCTGCTGCCATTGGACCATTTGGGTATAGGAAGACAATCTGGCCTGTGATACGCTGGTTTACCAGGAAGGTCTGGGGCCCACCTGCAAAGCCACTCGCCCGATAAGGGGCAGACTTACTCTTACATTTGTTCATTTGAATACCTGAAGAGGGCAAACCACTGCTAAAAAGGCAGTGTGATGGGTCAGAATATTTGAGCAGAATAGTGTACATAAAAGAACAATTCCTCAGTAGAGCATGCCATGAAACTGAAAAAGGCCAAACAACCCGACCAAGCAAGCATAATTCTGTAAGAGTTTTAGATTGCTGCAAGAGGTTTTGATTAATCGCATATCCTAAGCCCACTACCCAAACTTCCCTTCTTTGATTTGTTTACATAGTAAATTGGCTAATTAGAGGTCAAAATGAATTGAAAGTAAAGAAGGAAGGCCCTTAAGATAATTAGGGGCTCTTGACTCAATTCTGTACCATCTTGGGATATGTGAACAATATAAACAAAGGCATGGCCATTATCTTGGGTATGCAAAGCTCCATTAAACTCAGAATTCCTTTTAAACAATTACCCAGGAGTGTTTTACAAAATTGATAAAGAATGGGCAGCAACACATATCCTGGGATTTGTGCCTTAGTAATCCTTTTGAAATAATGTCAGGTCTCACAAACTTCATAAAGAAAGCTAAAGGGGCAATTTTATGTTCTTGTGGACTGGGCTTTGGATTTAAAGGATTGGTAGTGAGGTTAATCATATGCCTACCTATTAAATAACTAAAAGTTGACACGATAACAGAGAAAAATAAATTACTTGCAGATATTGTGCTGCTTCTACTGTAGCATCTTTTGGCTGAGAAGTTGTGGAATTCTGACTTTAAGAGAATATAGACCCCTCCACCCTCACCCCCACAGAGGATACGAAGCACATTGCATCAAACTGTGGCTCATCATGAGCCAACATAAGTATTAGTGCTCTGCTCAAAATTACCCTGCATTTTCCCCCAACAATTCCCCATAAATTAACGAGAAAAGAAATTTCATTCAAAAATTACAAAAAGGGAGACAACCCTTTTGTAGAATTCTTTTGGGTGAGGCCTAGGGTTTCTGTTGTGGTTACCTTACTTTTCAAGTGGATGGTACTGTTGAACTACAACTCCCCTCATTGGGAGTTGTAGTTCAACAACATCTGGGAGGCACTGTGTTGGCTGTCCCTGACATATGGCATGTTGTAGATCTGCCAGAAAACTGTTGCACTCCTTCCCTCAGAGAGGCACACCAGCCTCCAGCCCCCCCCCCCCGAATACTGGTGGTGGAAGCTCAATAGTTGATGCCAGACTGTGAACTTACACAGATGCCACCTGGCACTTATTATTTTAGCTGCCATGAAGTCCATATTTACTTATCTACATAATCTATGTCTATGCAGAGGGACAATAGCACACTGATGTGATATGTACATTCCATTGCAGAAGGTCCCACATCTAATCTCCCATCATCTCTAGTTATGGTAGCATGTGATGAGAAAGAGGCCCTCAGTGAAAACATCTCCCCATGCAGTACAGGGTTAGATGGACATATTGTCTGACCTGGTGTAAGGTAGTTTCCTTTGTTCCCAACTGCTTTGGTTTCCCTGCTCCTCTTCGTATTCTGGGTTCCAGCAATTCATATGCCAGGATTTCAAATTGCCTTGCACCGTGCTGCAATGGATTAATTGATTCTATATCCTGCAGGAACATTTCCCCATGTGAAAGACACAATCTCTGAGCTATACTTCAGGAGTTCACGTTGTAAAAGGAAGAAAGTCGATTTTAAAGTAATCACTGTCAATAGAAGTCATTTGTAATGTGTAGAAAAGAATTCTGTATACATTTCATCAGAACACTCTCATTTTTCAAGGTGTATATTTAACAATGAAATATGCAGC